AGTTTTAATTACCACCCATGTTGTGTATTTAATATTTTCAATAGTAAAATATTGCTATCCACGCTAAAACAACAGTCACGATCAAACAAAAGAGTCGAGAGAACAAGACAGGGGGAGAAGAGCGAGAGAGGAGAGGAGGGAGAGACATTATAAACTACCCAGAGCAGAGGCAGGAAGGTACGCGGCGAGGCTCTCCACGCTGTTCATATTTTATTTCCACCTCACCACAGTAAGATCGCTAGGATGATCTACCCTTCTTAGGATTTCAGTTGTAAATATTATGACACGTTTTAATGCATCAATCATTAATCAAGGTGGATGCCAACTTTGTAGTAAAATGGTTAGGATGTGGTTTGTGTACTACAGTACTACTGAAAAGATTATACCTTTCGTTAGTTGCACATTTAAATTTGAAGATACACTGGAAAATACGATGATGTATGCCATGAATATTTTTTGCTTGATTGATCGGTATCATATTCTCGTATTTCTTTTCTTTGCAAATAATTTGTATCTTAGTACCTGCGCCTTCAACTAACTCTATTTTATTATATAAATTAATTACTTTTTTAATTTATTCCACAATCCCACTTTTTTACTAATTTAATCTATTCAAGCTTATTGAAGTTTTAAAATCATTACACTTTAATAACAGACAATCGTAAAGTCTAAATTTGTCGAACCCTCTTGGAAATTTAAAAGTAAGGGTTCACAATATCTTAAACATTATAAAGGAACAAAACTAATAACGTAATCTTAAAACTATTATTATAAAGGAACAACAAAGACATCCCATAAACATATTAACACCAGCACACTCAGGCATGTAAAGCGAATATTTCAAAAGGATAATCAAACCTATGAAAATTAGATCGAACTTTTACAACTTAAAGGCGTTACGAAGCTAACATTGGCTTAAGATTGAGATAACGAATAGAAATAACGTTTTAAAAAGTTTGAACCTTGGGAAACATTTCAAACCGGCAATAGAGAAGCAACACCCAAAGCTTGACAAAAGCTACAGGCTGAGTGGCAGGATCATGCAGGATGAATGATCCTGTGGCGGTCCGGTATCGATCCGGTCACCCGCCACCCGGTCAACGTGTGTCAGTAGCTGTTGACACTGGCCACAATATACGCAGCCCTTGTACAGTGTACAGACGGGTACATGTACATGACCAGAGTACACACTAGTACATGTCTGTGTACGACGTAAACTCGAGTACATGTCCACCACACTTGGGACACCTCATGCACCATCCACCACAACTACTACTGTGCTGTAGCTAGTTAATGCTGACACATAACCAACCATACATGGGTAGCAGTGTGTGTCAATCAGGTGGACAATCTGTGTTTGACACGGACACCCACTTGGGACACCTCCTACAACACCCACCACAACTACTACTGTGCTGTAGCTGACACATAACCATACATGGGTAGCAGTGTGTGTCAATCAGGTGGACAATCTGTGTTTGACACGGACACCCATTGGGACACCTCCTACAACACCCACCACAACTACTACTGTGCTGTAGCTGACACATAACCATACATGGGTAGCAGTGTGTGTCAATCAGGAGGACAATCTGTGTTTGACACGGACACCCACTTGGGACACCTCCTACAACACCCGCCACAACTACTACTGTGCTGTAGCTGACACATAACCATACATGGGTAGCAGTGTGTGTCAATCAGGTGGACAATCTGTGTTTGACACGGACACCCACTTGGGACACCTCCTACAACACCCGCCACAACTACTACTGTGCTGTAGCTGACACATAACCATACATGGGTAGCAGTGTGTGTCAATCAGGTGGACAATCTGTGTTTGACACGGACACCCATTGGGACACCTCCTACAACACCCACCACAACTACTACTGTGCTGTAGCTGACACATAACCATACATGGGTAGCAGTGTGTGTCAATCAGGTGGACAATCTGTGTTTGACACGGACACCCACTTGGGACACCTCCTACAACACCCGCCACAACTACTACTGAGCTGTAACTACCACCATAGAATAAATATAGACACTGTCTGCTCTTTATTCTGTTTAACACCCAAACGCTTATTGCTTGAAATGTAATTTTAAATGTATAGCTCCATAAATATTGTAAACAACATCACATTCAAAGGTTTGTATTTTTAAATTTAGAAGAATTTAAATTGTCATCGATAGAGTTCCTTTTAATTGTGCGAGCGTGCTAAAATTGGCAAATACGTGTTTATTTTACCATTGCTTCTCAACCCATACCAAAGATAAAACATACTCGTACGTGTACACTCGTATCCTGTACGTTTTGGTGTCCACTATCTAAACTGTTACTACAACGCCAACCACCGATGATGCACCCATGAGTACGAAGAATTTGTATAAAAGTGTATTAGACTGGCTGAGTAGCTGAGTAGTAGTGATCGCCTAACAATAAAAAGGTTACCGGATTCATTTGTAGAAAATGCAGTAGCACAGACAATGGAATAAGTATTATATTGTCTGTGGCACTAGCTTTTTGATGGTTTGAACCTGGACCAAGCTGTCAGTGATCATTGGGCTTTCAATTAATGATCCTGACCTTATGATACAGATTATCTTAGTGAGTAAGTCTACACTAGTCATCTCACTCCATTCTACACTCATCCTTCACTCACATTTGGGCAAAAATACGTACATAGTTTTGTTTAGTAAAACAGCTTTTCATCTATTTTATATTTATGTAAAATGCATCGTACAGTAGTTATTTTCACATTCAGGTCAATTTATTAACATCCATTTCAACTAGTACAGCAATATTTTTCATATTCAGTGTATAACACATTTTTATACATATTTTATTTATGAGTGAGCCCATATTGTACTAAATGTTATCACCACAATCAGCAAGCCCCGCACCTACGATGCAACGCAGCGTCAATCATAGTTGTTCATATTTCATTTCCCCCGGCTTGGGATTTGAGGAGAAAAGCAGCGATGTCACTGGTTGTGGCACGGCTCTAATTGGCCCATTTCTGAAATGTCGATAATCCTACGAACTCAGTCTGTTATTTTACCGATCCTACACAGTAATTTCAAGGTAAACTACATATTTTGTATCAGTGAAATATAAGTGAAAGATAACTGAAATATAAGTGAAAGATGAGTGTGGAATGAAATTGTTAAAGATGTTAAGTTTTCGGGAGCTTTAATAATGATTAGGATTAGCTATTTCATTATACTAAGTTCGTTACACTAAGTTATCCGCTCCACGTCTTGATCCACTATTAAAAACAAAGCTCAACAGCAACAGCTGAGATTTGTCAAAACGTCAATCAGCTACAACATACATTAAGCAGACTAAAGTGGTGGGGGAACATCCCCCAAACCGTGGGAGTGGATAGAGGCACAGTGGCGTGTCAACATGAAGTGTGTCAAACACACATCGGAGCGTGCTGTCGTGTAGTAGGTGGGTAGGCACGGAGGTACAGTGGCGTATCAACATGAAGTGTGTCAAACAGACATCGGAGCGTGCTGTCGTGTAGTAGGTGGGTAGGCACGGAGGTACAGTGGCGTATCAACATGAAGTGTGTCAAACAGACATCGGAGCGTGCTGTCGTGTAGTAAGTGGGAAAGTGGAGGGAGGCACGGAGGTACAGCGGCGTATCAACATGAAGTGTGTCAAACAGACATCGGAGCGTGCTGTCGTGTAGTAAGTGGGGGAGTGGAGGGAGGCACTGAGGTACAGCAGCGTGCCAACATGAAGTGTGTCAAACACACATCGGAGCCCGGAGCGTGCTGTCGTGTAGTAAGTGGGGGAGTGGAGGGAGGCACGGAGGCACAGCGGCGTGACAACATGAAGTGTGTCAAACACTCATCGGAGCGTGCAGCTGTGTATTAAGTGGGAGGGTGGAGGGAGGCACGCAGGTACAGCAATGTGTCAACATCTAGTGTGTCAAACAGACATCGGAGCGTGCTGTCATGTAGTAAGTGGGATGGTGGAGTGAGGCACGGAGGCACAGCGGGGTGTCTACATGAAGTGTGTCAAACACTCAGCAGAGCGTGCTGTCGTGTAGTAAGTGGGAGAGTGGAGGGAGGCACGGAGGCACAGCGGCGTGTCTACATGAAGTTTGTCAACACTCCTCGGAGCGTGCTGTCGTGTAGTAAGTGGGGGAGTGGAGGGAGGGAGGCACGGAGGTACAGCGGCGTGCCAACATGAAGTGTGTCAAACACTCATCGGAGCGTGCTGTCGTGTAGTAAGTGGGGGAGTGGATGGTGGCACGGAGGCACAGCAGCACATCAACATGAAGTGTGTCAAACCCACATCGGAGCGTGCTGTCGTGTAGTAAGTGGGGGAGTGGATGGTGTCACGGAGGCACAGCAGCGTGTCAACATGAAGTGTGTCAAACAGATATCGGAGCGTGCCGTCCTGTAAGTGGGAGAGTGGAGGGAGGCACGGAGGAACAGCAGCGCGTCAACATGAAGTGTGTCAAACAGATATCGGAGCGTGCTGTCCTGTAAGTGGGAGAGTGGAGGGAGGCACGGAGGAACAGCAGCGCGTCAACATGAAGTGTGTCAAACAGATATCGGAGCGTGCTGTCCTGTAAGTGGGAGAGTGGAGGGAGGCACGGAGGAACAGCAGCGCGTCAACATAAAGTGTGTCAAACAGACATCGGAGCGTGCTGTCGTGTATAGTCCGCGCGCGATAACTTTTCACTTGGGATTTTTGGTGTTCCGTGTGAATTTTGTATCGGCAACGTCGCACCGCCGAGGCGAGCGCCCGCTTCTTGTCGCTTTGGCTCGACATGTGACAGGTATAAGATAGGGTAGCGAGCCCTGCAGCATTGCCAAGTTGTGCAAGTCCCAAGTGAAAAGTTATCGCGCGCGGAGTATAGTAAGTAGGAGAGTGGAGGGAGGCACGGAGGTACAGCAGCGTGCCAACATGAAGTGTGTCAAACAGACATCGGAGCGTGCTGTCGTGTAGTAAGTGGGAGAGTGGAGGGAGGCACGGAGGCACAGCAGCGTGTCAACATGAAGTGTGTCAAACAGACATCGGAGCGTGCTGTCGTGTAGTAAGTGGGAGAGTGGAGGGAGGCACGGAGGCACAGCGGTGTGTATAATGCCGCACCCGAGCGCGGTTATTTCCGCAGTCGCCGCCGGCGCTTCATCGCCAAATTACGAGGGAGGAGCGAGCGTGTCTGTCGCCTCGCCAGTTAACTGAATTATTCAGCGTTTTATAGTTCGCAGCGCGTGGGGTGTTGGTGGGGTGGTGGTGGCACGCCTGACAGCAGTCCAGTGCCGCCACAACTTCGCAGTGCATCGCTCCATATCTCTCTTCCTCACACAACACCTCGTTATCAGTAGCCGCCCTCGGGGATCTCGTTCGCTTAAGGTACTTCAAAATATTTATTTTATTGTTCCATTTTTATGATTGTAAACAAACCATGATATGTAGATAGAAGTAGAATGTTTACTTAGAAATATATCCTAATATTAATTACCCGCTTTTACTTTGTTGATTTTGATCTCCGTAATTTTCTTTTTTTGGAAAATTAATTGTATTACAATATTGTTTTTAAATATTTTATCATACAACTTAATATTGGTACATCGATAACAAAAATCTAAATCTAAATATTTAGTGTACGTATGTCTACTTTGTATCTGGCTCCAAAACGGCACTTTTAAAATTATTTTATTATTTTAAATAAACTTTTATTATTTCTATTATTTTAGTTTTATTTTTATTTTATTATCCTAATATACATATTTTTATTGTTTATTTTTATTTTTCAAACATTTTTAAATTTTACATTTAACTTTTATTTAAGTTTACTTTACACCAGATGCCGGTAGGTAAACATTTTGGACTCCTTCAAATTTTGTCAAAATGTAAGGACACTACGCTGTAATTTTTATCAATTTATTATTAAAATTAATCAGTCGGTCACAAAACTTACTGACAATTTGTACCAATCACATAATTAAGAGTAAATTTTCAATTTTGTACAAGTGCCTTAAAACTGATGACACTGTGCCGGTTTCAACCTTAGTTGGTTTAAAAGATTAAGAACCAAATACCAGTAAGATCCAGAAGAAAGTATTAAAGTTCTACTAGATTTTACTGGTATTTGGTTGAACGGCTACATGCAGAATTTATAGATTACTGATATCAGTGATATAAAGAGCCAGCCTAGTGCTACAGCCTATTTGGCGGACTCAACGTGTCATGGAATGCCGCATAGAACTCCGGTTAGCTATACTGTATGCCAAATTAAAGTCGATGAGATATATTTTGAAGGGATACGACATTTATAGCCATGTTGTACAATGCGTGGCACATTCATCGTGACATGCTGGCGACGGGTAGTACTTCACAGTTCTTCTGTTGGCTACATGCCACATGGAGGCAGATACGACATCGATAAGCCACAAGCCAGGCTAACCCTAATCCTCCTAGGGCTAACCGCACTTCATACTGTGTGACGTGACATGCTAGTAAAGTATAGTTCTTCGCAGTTCTTCTGTTGGCTACATGCCACATGTTGACAGACTTCCTAGAGTGATACAGGTAGGCCTATAGCCAGGTTAACCGTATTTTATACTGTGTGACATGTCCGCCGTGACATGCTAGCGACGTATAGTGCTGTACTGTGGTCTGGTCGGTTATATGCCGTATGTAGAGATACATCCTAGAGTGATACGGCATCGATAGACAGACTAACCGCACTTTATACTGTGTGACATACTCGCCGTGACATGTTAGAGACGTATAGTGCTGTACTGTGGTCTGGTTGGTTACATGCCACATGTAGAGCGAAATCCTAGAGTGATAATACATTTATAACCAGGTTAACCGTATTTTATACTGTGTGGCATGTCCGCCGTGACATGCTAACAAAATGTAGTGCTGTACTGTGGTCTGGTCGGTTATATGCCGTATGTAGAGATACATCCTAGAGTGATACGGCATCGATAGACAGACAAACCGCGACCGCACTTTATACTGTGTGACATACTCGCCGTGACACGCTAGCAACATGTAGTGCTTTACTGTGGTCTGGTAGGTTACATACCGGCACTCTATACTGTGTGACATATTCGCCGTGACTGTGGTCTGGTCGGTTACATGCCACATGTAGAGAGACATCCTAGAGTGATACGACATCGATAGCCAGACTAACCGCACTTTATACTGTGTGGCATGTTCGCCGTGACATGCTAACAAAATGTAGTGCTGTACTGTGGTCTGGTCGGTTATATGCCGTATGTAGAGATACATCCTAGAGTGATACGGCATCGATAGACAGACAAACCGCGACCGCACTTTATACTGTGTGACATACTCGCCGTGACACGCTAGCAACATGTAGTGCTTTACTGTGGTCTGGTAGGTTACATACCGGCACTCTATACTGTGTGACATATTCGCCGTGACTGTGGTCTGGTCGGTTACATGCCACATGTAGAGAGACATCCTAGAGTGATACGGCATCGATAGCCAGACTAACCGCACTTTATACTGTGTGACATGTTCGCCGTGACATGCTAACAACATGTAGTGCTGTACTGTGGTCTGGTCGGTTACGTTACATGCCGCATGTAGAGAGACATCTTAGAGTGATACGACATCGATAGCCAGACTAACCGCACTTTATACTGTGTGGCATGTTCCCCGTGACATGCTAACAACCTATAGTGCTGTACTGTGGTCTGGTCGGTTACATGCCGTATGTAGAGATACATCCTGGAGTGATACGACATCTATAGCCAGGCTAACCGTACTTTATACTATTGACATGTTCCCCGTGACATGCTAACAACCTATAGTGCTGTACTGTGGTCTGGTCGGTTACATGCCGTATGTAGAGATACATCCTAGAGTGATACGATATCTATAGCCAGACTAACCGCACTTTATACTGTGTGGCATGTTCCCCGTGACATGCTAACAACCTATAGTGCTGTACTGTGGTCTGGTCGGTTACATGCCGTATGTAGAGAGACATCCTAGGGTGATACGACATCTATAGCCAGACTAACCGCACTTTATACTGTGTGACATGTTCGTCGGGACATAACATACATAGTGCTGTACTGTGGTCTGGTCGGTTACATGCCGCATGTAGAGAGACATCCTAGAGTGATATTATATCGATAAATATACTAAACGTACCTGGCTATATGAGTGATACATCCGCTAATATGTATTGCGTTCGGCTGTAGTTTGCTTCATGCCTCATACAGAGATATGTGCTGTCCTGCGTATCTAGATAATTGTTCTACCCATAAGTTTTCTACGATAACATTAGTAGGTTTTGCACTTCATGTAGGAATTCCCCAAAATTTGAAAATGAAAATCTGAGCTATGTGTATAAATTATAAAATTGGAGCTCTTTTCGATGCCAACTGATATTCTAGGACTAAAGCAATGTAACATAGTGTACAATAAAATGTAAAAGGGAAATTAAAAGTATGGTCGTGGGTGAAGTGCATTGCGATATGCGATGCGGATGCGACAGGCTGGGCTGTGACAGCGACACAGCGACATAGCAACATAGCGGCTCTCGCTGGATGTTTCCCTCGTTCATTTGAATAAAGCCTCGGCCTGAGTCTGTGTACTCGGCTGGCGATAATCTGGCGAGGGGATGCTTTACTTCCACTAACTTCACCCCCCCCCCACCATTCCACATCATTCCACTATCAGTACAAGTACCATCGCATATGCAGGAGTTATCGAAAACATCCTTATCATGTTTTTATTGAACTAACGTAAACTCCAATTCACTAGCACTGGCCGTTCGTCAGTCAACATAACCTCCACCGCATCTACTGACAGTCACAAAAAATATTTTCACCATTATCCAATCACTCACAACTCCTTACCACTCTGTACCTCTTTACTGCCCATGCTAAAATAAATTATGACTGTCGCAACTTTTTTAGAAATTTATAATAACTACCCTCAAAATGCTGTTGTTAAATATACTTCCAACAATACCCTTTATTTCTGTTTTATTCCTATTGCCTCCACTGACAGTCACGAATCCTCCTCACCACTGCTTTAACACTAACTCCACTTTTCATTACCTTTAATCACTATCACCTCAACTATTATCGCCTCTTCTGGTAGAACTGAAACAGTTGTTACCATTGTTCTTGGTAACAATCTTACTAATCTTACCAACTCCATCTCTAACACTCTACTCCAGTCCTTTTCACACTACCACTGTCACTTCCACCGACTCTATTAACAGTATCAAAAACAGTTTTACAATTCCATCATTAACCTCGACTCACTTCGCCACCACTACTACGAGTCAAAAGCACCTCCTTTAACTCGACCTCCAGTTGAATAACAATTCTTCATCCTCTATCGCCTTTTCGAGCATCACCTCATTCCCTTCCATCATATCAACTCCTTCGCCAACTCATTTATCATCAGATTCACGTCACCAACATTTCCATGATCACATTCGTCCTCTCAACAACAATCACGAAACCTCTAACACTAAACGCATACACTTCCATCTACACAATCACTATTATTTCTACCCCACAAACACTTTCCCAACAACACATAGCTGTCCCAATCGTTTCAACGCCTGCCTTAATATACAACAATGTTGGGTTTCTTGGCTATCTCATTAATCCGTTGTCCTTATCCTTATCGTTATCCTTTAACACTCATCCTTTATTCATCTTCGATTAAGAATCAATACGCACCCTGTACGTACACTAGGTACATATTTTGCAAGCTGGTATGCCTAATTTTATGGTAAAACCCAAAGCACGAAACGGAGTAAAGTCAACAAACCGCAGGCTCGTGGCGAGGGACGGGGTGGAGGCGGCGGAGGCGGCGGACAAGGGCGGCGGAGGCGGCAGTGGTGTTGATAAGAGCTCTGCGGGGTGTTATAAATTAGTTGTCACCGGCGCCGCGTCGCGCGCTGCTGTAATAGCTGTAATTTGTACGGCAGCGACAGAGGAAAGTTGAAGTTGTACGTCGCATTGTGCCGAGCCTAGAGGGCACCATTATGTTTGCGTTAAAAATACGTACGTCTCTCATTGTGTTTTTGTTTTTATACTGCGGCTGTTTGTATGCAGTTTGACACTGAAACATATTTATGTCAGCAAAAACACGCATAAAAGTATTACACGGTCTAACGTAATATGACATTATTGTATATCTTTCAAAGGCTATATATTTCACTGAAAATTCTATATGCGCTGAAGCTCCCATAATCAACCGGTAGTTTTATTTGTGCCAGAGTTTTTAGTGAATATAGTTGCACTTACTAGATATAAATGTTCATAAAACGGGAGTTGAATGGCGAATGCATTTTAGTTGGGAGAAAAATCAAAAGTATAATTTATGTAAAAAGCCTAAATTTT